CCTGGGACAACTTCTACAGACACTTGGGAGGCGGTGACTTAGGCCGTGTGTGGGACTCTTGTGCCCGGTACCTACGAGTAGTCCAGCCGTCCGGCGGAACACACCCAAGTGGGAAAATTTCCTAAACGTGTGGGAGACGGGACAAATTTTGTTTTCCCGTCCTGAGGACAGGAAGAGATGTAGGGGCGTCGGACCGACGAGAGTTGGGCACCGGTTTAAATGCAAAACTAATGCAACTCTTTTGGGCTGAGGAGTGTCGACAGTAGTCGTACTCCCATTGACAATATACAAATATCGGGTATCAAAATATACATCATTGTTTGTGTGGTAATGCGTAATCTATTGGGATAGATTTTATAATTCAATTCATACAAAGACTTCATACAAGACAAAAAATAGGGGGCACATCGTGTAACAGTAAAACAAACAACTCTTTAGATTATGAACTTATTTTTTGAAAGCTTGGGAGCTTGAAAAGACATCTAAATGTGCCCGTAGAGTCGTAGAAGTAGAAATAAATTTGTCAGGACAAACAACCTCCTTTGTGTCGTTTCCCAAAAGCGCCCTCTGTGACTGGATCCTGAACTTCCTGACGGGCAGACCCCAGGCAGTGCGGGTGGGAAACATCACATCCTCCACCCTGATCCTCAACACCGGAGCCCCTCAAGGCTGCGTGCTCAGCCCTCTCCTCTACTCCATGTTCACTCACGACTGCGTGGCCACACACAGCTCCAACACCATCGTGAAGTTTGCTGACGACACGACCGTCATCGGCCAGATCACAGACGGCGACGAGACGCGAACAGAGAGGAGGTCGAAAACCTGACATCTTGGTGCCAGGATAAAAACCTCCATCTCAATGTCAGCAAAACCAAGGAGCTGATTGTGGATTACAGGAAGCAGCAGAGAGAGGGACCCGCCCCCATCGCCATCAATGGGACTACTGTGGAGAGAGTCAGCAGCTTCAGGTTCCTCGGGGTCCACATCACTGAGGACCTGACATGGACTCTTCACACCACCACCGTAACCAAGAAAGCTCGACAGCAGCTCTTCTTCCTCCGCAGGCTGAGGAGGTTCAACATGGACTCCAGGATACTCTGCAACTTCTACAGGTGCACCATAGAGAGCATCCTGACCTTCTACAGGTGCACCATAGAGAGTATCCTAACTGACTGCATCACGGCATGGTACGCAGCTGCACCGCCCTCAATCGTAAGGCTTTACAGCGGGTGGTGAAAACTGCACAGAACATCACCAGGACGGAGCTGCCATCCATGGAGGACCTTTACTCCCAGCGGCTCAGGAAGAAAGCCCTCCGAATTATAAAAGACCCCCATCACCCCAGCCACAAACTGTTCTGTCTGCTGCCGTCTGGCAGGCGGTACCGCAGCATCCTGACTAAAACCACCAGATTCAGAGACAGTTTCATACCACAGGCAATAAGACTGTTAAACACCTGAACTGTTGAAACAACATCCATAACATTCATCTGCTACTTAGTGATTATTTATCTATTTATCTAATATATCATTCCAATAGCTTGCATATAGACTCTTATTGCACTATTTCACTTTTTTAAACTATTTTTATTTTTGTATTTACTATTTACTTGCACTACATTTGTCTGTGTATCTGTGTTATTGTGTTGCACTGTTGGAGGAGCCTGTGACCTAATATTTTCATCGGCATAACTACACTGTAGCTATGTTCGTTTGACAAAATAAAGAACCTTGAACATTTTGGAGAAAAATAGATTTTTGAAGTGCAACTTTTGAATAGCTGGTCAGTTTAAATAAATGCCTTGAAACAAAACACACACTGACTGTGTGTAAAGGGACACAAGCATGGAGGAATAAAGACAACTGGATACAGAGTTTGAAGCAGGGCCCTGTTCATTCCTGGGAAAGTTGCTTAGTGGCGCATGAAGCCAAAGACAAAAGATTTTGGACGATATTTATATCTATTCCCTAGCCACTACTTAACATCAGGTCACGGCTCAGCTAGTCACATGACTGGAAGAAGGAAAATAAATCTGGATACAGCTACCAGCGTATTTACAACTTAATGAACTAATGTTTTAGCTAAGGGTTTTTCAATTTCAATTCAATTAGGAAGTTGATTCAACTCCAAATATGCTCATTTAAAGACGGCTCTTCACAATAGAAGTCAAAGTAAAAAAGTGTTTCTGGGATCCATGGCATCAAATAACACAGAAGTTGTAATTTCAACGTCTGGCCCAGATGAACATTTGCATCAAAGCCTGTACTGGTGCTCTTCCTGTGGGTTTAGGCACAACTTGGCCAGCTGGTTGTCTATAAAGGCCATGCAGTTTGTGTGTTTGGAACAAGCACGGCTGCAGTCAGAATAATGCTCTTTTGTTGGTTTCTGTCTAAAAGGGGCTTCAGTCAGACCCTACTCCAACACTCTCAGTCTCAGAGGTTCTTTGAGCTGTTTTCTTCACATAATCCTTGTTCAATTTAAAGTGAGCTGCTGTCCTAATTTGCCGAGCTATAAATATCCCAATGTCAGATATGCTTAGACCAGCAGAGAAACAAGGGGAAAGTGAAACATTGAAAGAATTAGATGACGAAAAACAACGACTGACAGAAAAAAAGGAAGCCTGACGGCATGGGGAATGCACTGGTGGTGGAGGGGAAACACTTCTATGAGACAGGTATGTATTTTTGTGAATCCCCCCACCGCAGACATCGACAATCACTCCCCAGAATACCTCGAGCGTGGTTAAGCATTCAAGTGAGCACCACTGATAGTGTTTAAGGGTGGGAAGCTGGGGAGAACAAAGCAGTGGCAAACAACAAACTTGGCATTATCAGAGGCTAGACGTTCTTTGAGGAAAGCCAAGACGAGTCTTAGAAAGGTAACAAATACCTGCCCGCCTGTCATAGAAGCAGACAGCATGACAATGGTTAAGAGATGGTAATGATAGGCCTTGCATCTATACGTGGGTCCTGTGGGAATACCTTGCATTCATTGATCAAACAAGCTTAGGGTCAGGGACAAGAAACTCCTTTTCCACCCCAACTTATCCCTCCTTCCTTTCCTCTAATTTGGCAGGGGCCTCTGTCCCCCCCCCCCAGGTCATTGTCATTAGGAATGTGGGAACACCACTTGAGCTGTTTAGCCCCTAAACTCGAGCCCCACATTCACTCCCCCTATCACTCCCAATGCCAGATAAGTAATCCTCGAGAGAACCTGATATAGCAGAGATCACATGCTGAAAGCGGCTGTTTGAGGGGAACAAATCAAAATGGGGATGTTTAAAAGAAGAGTTAATAGAGAAAAGGAAAAAAGGAGATACATTATCCATGTGAAAGAGGAGGCTTATCAAAGACAGCATCTTTGACTTTTGTAAAAGTTGATTGTGAGTGTCTTGAATAAAGAAAACTAGTGATAACTCAACAACTCAATGCCACCCACCCTACATCAATGGTAAAAAGGGTTAATGAAAGTGTAGTCAAGTCTGTTTATATTATGAATGTACATAAGTAGGGATGTCCCGATCACCTTTTTTTGCTCCCGATTCGATTCCGATCATTTGATTTTGACAATTTGCCGATACCGATTTTTCCCGATCCGATCTTTATGCAATGCATTGAGAAAAAAAAGAAAAAAAGCATTCAAGTTGTCCCTTAAGGTTATTTTTTTATTTAAATTGGATATTCTATCCAACATGGATATAGCTTCTTTCTTTCACAGCAGCATTGGATCAGTTCAGTTGTGCAGCATTGGATCAAAACAAAATAAAGCTTATCAGTACTCGTTAGCTTACTGCTACAATTAGACACTGCGCCCTGCCCACTCTGTTGCCAGATTTGAGAGAAATAAGCAACCAGGTCTATGAAAACAAGCCCCAAAGAAGCAACACATACATGATGTTCTGTNAGAAGCATTTCAAGGTCCTGGAGTGGCCTAGCCAGTCTCCAGATCTCAACCCCATAGAAAATCTTTGGAGGGAGTTGAAAGTCTGTGTTGCCCAGCGACAGCCCCAAAACAAAATCTGCATGGAGGAATGGGCCAAAATACCAGCAACAGTGTGTGAAAACCTTGTGAAGACTTACAGAAAACCTTTGACCTCTGTCATTGCCAATAGGGATGTCCCGATCACCTTTTTTTGCTCCCGATCCGATTCCAATCATTTGATTTTGACAATCTGCCGATACCGATTTTTCCCGAT